ACATCAACTAATGAATCCTCCATTTTGTGCTCAACCCAGAGAGTTTAGGCAAGAATAGCTGTGAGATGCTCATGGGGAAACGGAGGCTGGTGGAGAAGCCTGGCTCCCATCCTTGGACTGCTCTGCTCCTGCGCTGTGCTGTCCCCTAGCTGTGAACCTGACACCTGTGACATGGCATGGAGGAGCAAGAAGAATTATTGACATAAATCAAAGGGTGAAGGGAGATTTTATTCCCCACGAGTGCGAGAGACACCCATCCCTACCGCTGTGTCTGACCTGTGGAACAGGCAGCACATGGCGCCGGGTCCCCCTGGGCTGGCAGAAGGTGTCACACAGCACGACCGGATCTGGAGCACGGGCTGGCTGCTATTGCTCTGCACAGCGATTAGAGCCAGGAAAGTCTCTTGGGAAGGCGCCGACCCTTCGGTCTCAGGGCCTGCTTCTGCGGCTGGGCGCAGGCTCATCTGCACAGTGTAGTTCCCGGAGCCACAGACATCGTCACTCACAACTGCGAGGCTTTAAGGAAAGAAGGAAAAAAAGCTGAGGTCCAGCTAGGTTCCACAGCCTGTTAGGAATAAAACAGCATTAGGATGAGTTTCCTCAGTGAAACCGAACAGTAGGTTGAAACAAATAAAGAATAGATGGACCCTGCCATGACAGAGCCTCCCGTGGTCAGAACCACCTGCTGCCTCTCTGCACAGTCAAACCATCTGAACACACGGGAACTTGGCCATGTTTCACTATGTGGGAGTATCTACCCTCTTTGCTAGCACATTTGGTCACTTAATATATCAAACGATATCAAATGATCCAGGCATTTGAAAATCAGGGAGCCTCTTTGCTGACAGTAAAGGAATGACAGAAGAATATCAAATGATCCCACTTGCAAAACTGCACGTAGATTGTTTGGGGGAGAAAAGGCAGAGCATGAAAGGCTGTTGTGAAACAGAAAACTAGGTCTGAAGGAGAGTATTAATATCCAAAATGTGAAAAGACCCTTTTCTTTTTACTGTAATGTCACTGATGAATGAACTCAGTGTATTTACAACACAACATATACCCGTGCGACTGAGCCCATGGAGCAGTTTGGCCATTACCCACCCCCTCCTGCCTTAAGTGACACAGCATAAATATGCAACAGCAACTACGCTGAGATAATTACCCATTCAGAATGGTGGCATCTGACTGCAAAACCCTCCTCTGACGTGAGTCGCTCAGCAGTGCCCTGGGCTCCGAATCCAGCAGCGTTAGAACAGTTACTAACCCTTCAGCTGCTTCTTCTGTGGCTTCGTTTGTCCTAGCCATCGCCTCTGCCTCTGTGTTCGAGAACAGCCTCTCAGGTTGTCCAGTGTTTGTAACACCCGGCAAGGAGTTCCCCTGTGGCATAAGCGCTGCCAGACTCTGAGAAGCATACACGGGGCTCTCTGAGGTTGGAAGGAGCTGGATTAGATCTCTGGCTAGAAGCATCTCAGCATCATTGACAGCTTCTTTCTTAAAGACAGCTGACTGATTAGTAACTTTATTTACAATCCTATTAGCAGAGACAGAAAATGCTTTTGTTGTAGATGACCCAGCAGCACGCGCGATGGCACCAGGGCTGGAATGACCAGTCTTATGTTCAATGTTTTCTTCTAGGGATACCTGCTCCGGAGGGCGTCTTGCTGATGTCTGATGTGATGAAGACACAGGTGCCCGAGTAGGCAGCGGGCTAGTGGTGGCTGCAACTCCTTTCACTAACATGTCCTCACTCTTTCCCGGTGATGTAGAGACCACAGTTGATTCGCTCTCTCTGGCAGCTGGAGGCAGCGCCGCGTTTGGGTCAGATGGGATAGCTGATGTGAGCAGGCGAAACACTTTTTTGTCTGGAAGTGAAGTGGTGAGATAATCGTTCTTAGCTGCAGAGAGAGAAGTCGTGGCTAAGGGAGGCTGTGCTGTGGTCTGGGACAATTCAGGCTGTCTCTCAAGAGCAATAACAGATCCTGCAGACACCGGTGGTTGTAGCAGAGTTAAATTGACCTTATTCCCAAGATCTGCTGGGGGGGTTTGCTGCGTCCTCGTGTTAAACATGGCTGACAGAGACACGCTTGTTCCCAGGAACTTACTGGTTCCTATTTTTCTTGCACTTGTGCTGATTTCAGTTGGCTTTGCATTTTCTCCCACATTGGCCTGTGACAACAGTTTAGTAGGGGCTCGATGGATTTGGTCATGTTTTGTGGCTGACAGCAGGGAAACACGTGTAGACACAGGTGAAGCAGGACTTGCAGGAGAGCTGATAAACATCCTTGGATGGGCAATCGTAGCCAGAAGTTTCCCAGAAGCTGCTGTTTTCATTTGGCCCTTTGTTGAAGGTGAAGTATGCACCGGTGCTGTTGTTGGTCTCTCTGTCACTGTAAAGGGCTTAGGCATAACGGGAGTAAATTCCAAATGTTTAGCAAGATCAGGTTTTACAGAAGAGGTGAAGGTTCGTGCTTCTTTAGCACACACAGCGACTCCTCCTGAACAGGTCGTGCTGCCCACTGCTGGATCTCTGCCATCATTTCCAGCTGGAAGCACTGAGAAAGCTGATGATGTGCTGGGTATAAAGTGAACTTGGGTCGGCAGCCTTTGGAGTGACTCAGTACTTCGGAGACTTTGTGATGTGGACTGCAAAGGCACGATGCTTGTGACCCTCTTTAATGGGTATTTTATGGTTCTAGCTGAGTGCCAAGGCAAACACTCCGTGCAGTGCGCACGGACAGGGGAAGGTGTCGTCACCAAGCCTTGGTGATGGCCGGTAGTTTGCAGCATTAGTTTCTGACTGTGCTGCATCTCATCTACAGCCTCTGTGACAGTAAGTGGAGGTCGGG